ACCTCTCGTACAATTTGGAATTAATAGTCACTCGTAATGTCACTCGGGCTCGTGCAATTACGAGAACTTTCAAAACATTACTYGTGACTATTAATTCCAAATTGTACTCAAGGTCGTGCGATTTCCTATACAAATTAATAGCATTAGCTAGTGCAAGGAGTGTTAATATTTAAAAGGGCTAGAGCGACTGGATGAATTTTCACTTGGTAGACTTTTTTGAGAATTTTATATATTCTTTGATTTACCAGGAATTTAGTTTATAATGTATGCAGGTTTTATGAGAGGTTGTCTGGTAACTCAAAAGATTATAAAATTATACTAAAAACTATTAAAATACTATTAAAAACCTCATAGATTTTAAGGTAGACTTTCGCAAAGTCTGTTTTCTGCTCGTTAATCTTCTTAACCCACTAGTGCTATTAGCTTTACAGGGTTCAGTAGTCTTTGTGGGTTGAGCAGTATTAGTATTCCTGTGCAATGACCCGCATTCCTGGGAGTAAAAGAGAGCCCGACTTGGGCAAATCTTATTTTAAAGTTTTAAACATGTAAAACATTTAGTGTGTTTATATTATGTTCTTAGAACATCTTCTGAACTAGAAGTATTGAATAAATACACTAAATCTAAAAACAAGTAATTATTGAAACCATAATGGCAAAACAAACTTTCAAAACCACAACTTTATTACCTTTTGATATTCTTGTAGCTGTAATTTAGTGTGAGTTTTACTCTTCTGGTCTGTTGAGTCTGACAGTACATCTTCTCCTTGATACTCCATGGTTAAGACTATTCCTTATAAAACCTAAAAMAACAAATGCAAAAAAAAATGATTAACTATTTGTGCAACTGCATGGATTGCATTGGTAATTATCAGGTTTTTGGCAATGATCAGGTGCAGATTATTAAGGGCGGGAGGGGGGCACATTTGTCAGGATCTCAATTTCGGAATTTCTGGGGGAGCATGCCAGCAGACTCCGAGATCCGCCTGTCTTTGACAATCAACTGAACGAGTGCAGGGCCACATACCCCCCCTTTGTAAATTGTTGGTTCCACCCCTGAATATGAGCCTTAATATGACTTAAGGTACCTTAATATGAGCAGCAAAATCATACAACTTYTGTGGCAACAAAATGAGACAAGTTGGGTTATTCTTAATGTAATACAGGCAACATCTTCAAGTTCTGTTGCAAAAAGTAGAGCCATCTTCTACTTCCTGCAGCAGACGTTTTCAACTTGCAACAAAAWATTCTGCTGCAAAGAAGGTAAACTAGTAGAACACATGACATTGCTTCCTGACTAAGTTTTTGCAACAATATTGTTGCCCACACAAGTTGTACAATTTTGCTGCTCGTATTACCGTATTTTAACTGAAGAAGATTATGGCCTTTGACAATTGCAAAATTAARCAGACTTTTGGGGTGGGGTGGGGTGGGAAGAGGGTGCACCCCACCTATACAAGGTCTTTTTTTCTCTGTCAAATTTACATGTATCAGTCCCTACTAATTTATTCCCCAATCCTCCATTGGCTGAACAAGAAACCACATGAGTCCTGTCATGATCAGTTTACTAAATACAACATGCTGACGAGTCCTAATACAAGTTAGAAAGTAGTCCATGGTTTTTAGTTGCGACAATGTTCTCATATGATTCCCAGATCCTACATAACACATGTCCTATTGAACATAGCAGCTGAGAGTCTCAAAGGATACATGAGAAGTAATTTTGGATTTTTTAAAAAACAATATTACAACACTTTATTTTAGTATGTACATGTAAATAAAATTACTCCTAAATATCTTTTATCTAAGATTCAATGCAGTAATGCAATAATCAGCTGTGGTTATACAGTTTCCCATTGCATGTACCTTTTTGTTCACAGATTCTGTCGTATGACTTAAARCTCACTAAAAACTTTCCAAGGATCATTGACGTGAGATTATATTATACATGTTGCATGGTAACATGATGATTTTGAAAAATATGGGATAAAGTAGCAAAAAAATAGTCTTTTAGTAAGTYTTTTAGAAGAAAAACCTTTACTATTTAATATAGGAGAATACACAAAGATCATGAAGATATTGTTGAAATTTTCAGAATATTTGCAAAACATTACAGCTAAATCTAGCTGATAAATTGAATACTAGAAATAWATCATCAGCCCATMAATCAAAACCTTTCTCRTGTTCTCCCAACAATCACAATCCATGCTTTTATATATACATGTATTTTGCACATTTTGACCAATCAATGTACATGTAATATTATTGTTATTTTATTGACATTTTTGTGTTAATTCAATATTTTTATGAAACATYACTGATAAACAATACAGTGTGTCAAATGCATCAATAAGTGTGAAATCATTTTAACATCATAAACTATTAAAAAAACAGATAAGATAATATGTTTTCCATTAAATGAAAATAGGATTTTGTCTGTATGTTATACTTCTTATCCACTTGGAACGAACCAAACTAAATGATCATTTAACAACTTATCATAATAAATTCAACCTTTATAATGCACTTTGATTGCATCAAGTGATATTTTGATCCAAGCGAGACTGAATTCTTTTCATTTTAATTGTATCTCATATTTCAAAATGTCTGCATTTGCTCTTCTGGGAATTTTACATTTCAATATTTAGATTTATGAAGTCACTGCTGTGAGAAAACCAACATTTCTTTCAAAATAATGAACATACACTTCTAACTGTTAAGAAAATTTAGGAAGAAATATGTTTTACACTTTAGATACATGAATGTAGGTGAGAAATTGAATCTGATAAATGTCCAGGAAATATTACAGAAAAATGATACAACACTAGTCCAATTCGAAGAAACAATACAGTGTGCAATGGAAAGAGAATATAAAAAGTGAAAGCAGATGGAGAAAAAAAAAATCGAAAAAACGGAGTTAATACATTCGACACGTTCGACTCTTTGCAATAAACAAAAGATAGAATTGTGAAAGGGAATTGACCAATAGATGTATATCTACTTACTACTCGAATATAAGGTAGAATGAATCATGGATTAACAGCACAGTCCTGCAGTTTTATAGCATAGGAGTATAGAGACGTCTTGCACAACACTTTGATAGCTTTTCAGCACTGAACAGGCTTTTCATTGATTTTCGATCGTTCGAGTACCAATTTTGATTAAATTAGAACATGATGTCCATAATATTCGTCTCATGGTTTAGAGAATGATTGATAGACAATACTATACGCGATAAAGATCAAGTAGTGTTAAGGAAAGGACAGGATTATACCATCCAGTCAAGATTCTCGCTTAAATTATTATGCTAATTTTTTGCCGAGCAGGGACCGAAAATTAAGAGAAACGAAAAGCTTGGCGAATTGACCGGATGCACCTGCCCTAACGATTCATGTTKYCGTGTGACACCAAGTCAAAAATCCAGTAGCTAAATGTATTKTATAATGATTTGTAAATATGAACTGAAAAACTCGACAAAAGAGTATTTATTTGTGAGCTTCATTGTTGAAAACACAAACAACGCTGGCGATGACGACGCTCTCTCAGCGAGAACCTTGTACGAGACTTCCTCTCATACATGTTGGCATGTATTGTATGTGYTTTCCCCAAGAAACAAAATATTCCAACACTTCAATGAGTAGGGGGGAAATACAAGAGAATCGAAATGCTCGTACGAAATAAATCGAATTTCTCGTTTYACTGATTGTCGTAGTTCAACTTGCAACTGATTGAGTCATCGCTTGTCCGAATTCGAGGATGTCACCTCAAGTATCTAGCACACTCTWAACTAAACACCGGCACATGAGAACGATTCCTTGCCATTTTGTCAATTTGGATTAGAATCAAACCATTTAAAAGCGGCAGTGAGGTCGTTTGGGGTTACATAGTCAACATGTATCGAAAAAAATGGCCGTTAGTTTYATAACTAGATAGTTTAAGTACTGTCTATTGAATGATTTCGCTCTACTTACCTAAATGCGCCATATTAGTCTTCATGTTTATAATRTATACCATCTAAATAGTAAGAAATAGCCGTAATAGGCTTCGATGAAGTCGCTTTTCTCGCTCCGTGACAACAAAATGATTTCACTTAGCACCGTGGTCTGTGGACATCATTCTAATATTGACTTTAGAATTGTTCTTTACACATACGCGGTCTGTTCGTAATTACGAACCCTCGGGCTGGTTCCGGGTATGTAGTCACTTCAAAATTGTGTTAATATCGACCGTTCGTAAGAAATTTCCGATTGGTCGGACAAAAATGCTTCGAAGTCCGCCGCCGATCGAAAGCAGGGGGGTTTCAAATTGCTAATTATATTTCAGGAATGTAAACAAATCACATGGTTGTATTTTACCTGAGACGTTGATTTTCTTTGTTTTCTTCGCTAATCCCTGTTCTTTTTATTAACTGGAGCRGTAGGTTCTCTAACCTGAGCAGTTTTTCCGCAAGAAAAAGCCACAAAAGTTCAAAAGATGAATTTTTGGAAAAAACCTTGTTGAGTGATATGTGACCCAGTGATGGAAATGTCTAGTTATGTCAGGACATCTCAAGATTGCAGACCAGTTTGTAATCCCTAAATCGGCCAGTAGCAGTCCGTTGTTAGGTCACAAGATATTCAAGCGAGATAGCTATTTGCATGYGATTTTTTTGCASAGTAACTGCCAAATCCCTGTGATTACATTAGTCAAAAGACACTATAGAAAATCAATTATAACTAGCCAATCAGAGCTGTTGTGTCTTGATAATGCATCTATTCATATTGTTTATGTGTTTATCTCTAAACAATAATGTTTGAGTCGTCTCTAAGTTAAACTCTAAAAGGTAAAGATTGGAATATGCCAGATCAAAAAAAATTGGTATAGAAAAAAAAAAAAATTGGTATAGAAAAAACTCTTACTGACCCTTACTGAGATTATTTTGCATTATAAACATGTTCCATTTTATACCATAATAGCTATTACGGAGTTTGCACTAAAGATTATTAAAGTTTACATAAAACATGATTAAAGATTTTTGGCAGTAAGGTGTTAGGTAGCTGGTATATCAAGTATGGGTGATTGATSGCCTGGAAAGTGGTAGGGGCTGTTCAAAGCTATTGATCCTGGGTACTGATACCCTGCGTCGCGCGCTGACTTGACTCCATGACAACTTACTGAAACTTACTCTATTAAAGACCTACTTTACGACCACAGGTTTCTAGCCACGCTGTGTCTTTTTCAAGTCATCTTTATGTTTTTTAAGTCAMAGAAAAAGTCATAACAATGTTGGTTTCAAACACGCACACACAGTCTATTGTTTTTAGAGAGTAAGCGTTGCGTGACAAAAACTATTTCAGTAACGCGGTTACGAGGAGACTAAATAAATATCCAAATTACAACAAACTCGATCATACCTTTAACAGCGAAAATACAGCATCTACGATGAAGAAAAACAGTTTTGAATATCTTCGTTTGTGGATGGTTAAGCGGATCTTTTCCAACCCTATTACGTCATGTTCCCCCGCAAGTGTACCGCGGAAACCCGCATTTGACCTGAAAATGAAAGGACCACTCTATTTCATGCTCTGTCTCCAATGTTAATTTATCATTCTATGACATTTTTTGCGTAAAAATTAAGGCATTTCGCCGTGCATTTTCAKGGGCGTGTACAGGGGTTGTTCCAGGAGTTCCGAAAATCCCCCCCTCCCCACTACTTGATGGACGAAGCTGTATTTGAATTATTAGACATTAGTGCCAGTCAATAGGATAACACCAAAAAATACAGTCAATCGTCCTCTTCACAGTATTGAAACCGCAAAACAAAGCTGGATCCCTTCCTCCGCTAGTGATCGACATTTTCCCGGAGAAACGACGAACTGAGGAAAACCTTCTGTGTAATTCCCGTAGTCCTTGGAGTTCCCAATATTCCCCGAGTTTCTAGTCTTACTCGGTCAAGTAGGCATGAGATCGAGGTAGGCTAGACCAAATCACGTGATAGTTCATAACACGTCTGGCCGATTGATTTCTTTAGAGCCTCGAGCAAGAAGGTTTTGAAACAGAAAATTCTATCTTCGAAAACGCTATTTTCCTCAAAAAGATTTTTAGAAGAGATTCAAAGGTATGTTTTTTGAAAAGTGATATTGTAWTTTGTCGAGCTAGTTTTTCCACTGTTAATTTTTAAATGTGCTTTAGCCTGTCTTCATGTTCGCCACCACCATGTCAAACGGGTGAGCTGTACGACGGGCGTAACCTGGAATTATTTACGTTCTCTGAAAGCTTCATATGAAAGGCTATCTTTAATTCACCACAGTTACTATTAGATATTGAATTTTGAGAAAAATATTAAAAATGCTCTTGAATGGATAGATGGCAAAGTGTGGTTCGATGGTCGTCCCTTCTTGTCCTTCTTGTTCGGTCTGACAGATGGCCGACGTCCAAGACGAACGAACTACATATCGTATCTCACCACCAGCCGCCATCATAACGCCATGAAAAAAATCCTCTCACTTCTAGTTTAAAACATAACTAGAAGCTTRCTTTGATATCGACATTTGTTTTATCAATTATGTTTTTTGTGCTCTATGGTTCATTCAATGTGCAAATTGAACCCGATTGTCGCCGCTTTTCTATCGCGCGCCATCAGGAAAAGCCTTCACGTTTCTTCGATTTTCTATAATGCACCTTAATCTCTTACATGTAAACATGTGATTCAATGCTAATATAATGTTCGCTCACTTTTTGCCAACAAGTTATGTTTTTGAGTGATCGATCTAGGTTGGTTATGAACGTGAAAAAAAGCTTACTTTATGTGATAACAAACATTCGCACTTCGCTGTATTTGCCATAGGCTGTTGTTCTTCATGTTTCTCCAAAAGCACAAAGCATTGTGTTTTTACATGATAACATTCAGAATGATTATAATGATAATGTCTAAGCAAAATAGCTCAGAAAGTAATAGTTAGCAAGTTCATTTGCTTTGAACCAGCTCTCGTGTTCGGTGATTTTTATAAAAACCAAAAATACTTGCACAAAACAACTTAAGATGACCGAAAGTCCCTCAACGCATTATCATTCAACGGCTCAAAGCTCAAAAACAGTATAAAAATAWAAATCGTGTTCCATATTTGAGCAAAATATTTAGATTTAAGCTTACATGCGATGCCGTTGTCGCATCCGGATTTCTCTACTCAAAATGCGTTCTGACTATGCATCGTCTAGTTAGATTGTGCATGAATATTATTTCAGCTCATTTCAGAGCTCTGAATTAAAACAGAAACTAGAAAAGGGGATCCAATAGACCATTTTATAATATAATCCTTTGATTATGAAAAGCTTCCTTTCTTGACATGACCCTTAGGCATAGCAAAACGAGATTAGATTTCAGACAGAAAAATAGTCAAAATAGTCATAAACATGGGCACTTAAGTTATGTAATGGTAGAGCCTGAACATCCAACATACATACACGTTGAAATGAGTATTTAAGTTGTCTTGCCAAATTACAGACATATTTGATTGATTAAGGTTAATATGTAATATACAGTTGATGTAAATGCTGTTTTTTGTTTATCAACAAGATGAACTCCATTTCCAGTCCTTTTTTTATTGCTCAAGCTTAAATATTGTTTACATTTGATTTGCTGCATATGATGTTGGTTGCTTCAATAAGTAATTTGTTGTGTATTCTATAATGATTCCGCATTATCCTATGAAATGTGTTATTGTGCTTGAGTGATTCTTGGTTCGGTTCAATGGTTTGATCTATAAAACTTGAAAATCCAGTCTRTCAGGTTTTGAAAAAATGTATGGTTCTTAGGCCCTGTTCACATGAGGTAGGGTGCCCGTAGGTGTAGAGCCAAACTCTTAAATTGTTTTCAATCCTCCAGGGAAAAGAAAACAAAGGAGTTAGCCCTACCATGTAGGGGCACCATATATCATATAAACAGGCCCTTAAATACCATAAGTGTCAATCCTTGATCTTATACAATTGGGAATTATATTATGAAAGAACCCAGAAATTAAAATCAAAGCTATGTATATACAATGATAATCAAGTTTATATAAACACTCAGACAACTATAGAATTTTTGCTGTTTTTTAAGCTTATTTGACAATTATACTGCTATATGCAAATGACTTTCCTTGCTGAAATAATCAAGCAAGTGAAAGGAGTTGGACATTTTAACAATACTCCAATTTTGAGTTCTGGTCTGCTCTGTGTTAGCTTCAAAAACCAAGTAACATATTCTTTTGTTTTATTGATAGACCGAGAAAACGCATGGAATTTGAAAAGAAAGACAAAAGAATTGATTTGAAATCTCACACTTTTATTCAGCACAATTAGGAATATTTTGCACACAATTGAGGCTAACACAGAGCATCGGAGAATTCGAAACTGGATTATTTTATTGGATTTTGAGATCTTGTAAAAATTGACTTTGTAATCACAAGGCAAATTCTTAAGTCAAATTCAGACCAAYCACAATGATTTTTCAAAGTTATGGCAATTAAACAGTACAACCACTTGTTTAGTTTTTTTGCTCTAACAATAGCTCAGTCTTGTTTCTAGACTTTCATAATAGAATAGCAAAAGACATTTAAATACTGATTCTTGTCCTGGAATCTGTTGATCTTCTGTAATGATCAGYTAGTAAGTCTACGCTTCGTTTTTTAATGACTATTATTTTCTGTCTATCAATAGAACCAACATCCATAGATTGTGATAGTGTGACCCTATACTAGGGATGGATCACAGTTATGGCAGATCAAAAATATTCCAGCAAATACAAACAGAAACACTGGGGAGTACCAAAAATAAACATAACAGCCAGCCATGGTCGCAGCCCATTATATGACGGTAGGGCAGTAGGAGACAAAGCCACAGCCATCAGTGCTCTGGCATCATTACATCATCCTAGTAAGTA